AAATATAAGCAATTAAATAAAAAATATTGCCTAAGTGTGAATGGAAAGGCAATGCCTCCTAGTGGTCACATATGTCCCTTTGTTCACTTTACAATTCAGTCTGGCTTGGATATACAGATAGTAGTTGTAAAAGAGCTCAACAGATACAAGATATCTAGCAATATGTTATCAAATCACATTAACCACAGACCTAAAACAACATTAGTAATTAAAAAAAAGAAGAAAAACATTGTTTCAACATTTATGCACATACTGCATAAAAACGTTCAGGATCGATCTCCAAAGGGATTCCAGGAAGATGTGTCAAAACGTTTTCTTGTAGGTCATTTTACTTATCCAATACTGAATGTAACAGGTGATTATTGTTTTTTCTAAATATACATGCTGGAAAACTAAAAAGAAAAACAAGTTTTACAATGCCTTGAGCACAGACATTCAGAACAGCATAGTGTGACATAAAAGAATTTCACCATATTTATCAAAGCCAACGGTTAATCAATGCACAGCAGGAAGAACTGTTGTGTAAACAATGCATCTTGCATGTTTTGACAAGTGCAAACACTGTCATAGCCAACAAATAAAGAGCAAGTACAAACTTTTGTTTGTGCAGTCTGCTACCCAGAATGACACCTGCTTTTCATAACGAACAGCTATTAATGAATGACAGCTGCAACAAGAAACCTTTCCTCTCCTGTCTTCATCACATCTGTACTTTCCACATTGTTTTGGTGACAAATTATTGTGCAAGTGTAATGTGATCTTTCAATCAACATAGTTAAAATAGATTTGTACAATTGAGCTTTTTAAGCTTCAAGGTAAGTCACAAGTTCATTTTAGGCTACAACCAAACAGTTTTTCTAATTTACTTTCTAAAAAGTCTCCATAAGATGTCTACTAAAGTCAAGATATTACAAAGCATGCTGCCAAATTGATTTACAGTATGTTTTCTATTATTTCAATTTTTTCTGTATTCCATTAAGGAATTCTGAAAATTCCTACCTTGGCATTTTTCATAATACAATTGAGGTCTTGATGGAGTTAACAATGGTTGCCCATTGATGTGATATTGCTCTCTTAACAAATTCTAATTCAATTGTAAGGTTTACTTCTATGGCAGGTTGTCAGGTCTCACTAGTAAGGGGCTGAACTTTTTGCCATGAAACGAGAGTTGGATTCTTTCTATTATATCTATAAATTAGATACATTGGTTGTCAAGAGGCTTATTGTATCATAATCAAACAATGCATATCTGCAAATCTACAGACATGCAGTTTACTGTGAACTTCTCATCTATCTGCTTCAGGTCATTAAATGAGACCTCATAGCCCTTCATACCTTTCAACTGTAAATATATCCAATCCCCTTTACCACTGTGTCTGTGGATATACTTTACTATGCTCTTCTGTACGTAGCTTTGAACATAAGGGATACAGGATGATGTAGGTTTTAATGTTATTCTAAAATTTTAATAGACCTTAGTCTTTAAGGTCTTGCCTTTCGCAGATTGTGGTTTCAAGAGAAAATGCTATTATATGGCTTTCACTCACACAGAAATCAAGTTTCACTTTGTGGTACCAGAAAACCACTTTATATTACCATAAAACAGAAAGGCTTTTTCTGCAAATGTGATATGTACAGCTGTGTCACTTTATGAAGGAAGAAAATGTGGTGAATTTGCCATTGGCTATAATGAAGAACACCTAACACTGCAGCTTTGTGATAAGCTTACAAGGAGCCAGTGTACTGTGGCTTTAGGGGTATGGATATATGCCACTCTGTTCTACCTCCCAGCAGTCTGACATATGACAACATGTGAATGTTTATAACAACCTTCCAGTAGCACTGCTAAAAGCACAGCTTTTTCTGCTGCAGCAGCAGCTTGATGGTTTATATGCAGAATAGCATTTTTCCAGGGAACAGTAATGCATAATATTTTGTGTGATCTTCCTGCAACATGGCACATTGAACAATACTTATCTCATTTCCTCATGTGTTATTTTCTATAAAATGGAGCCACAGATATCATGTGCTGTAGCACTCTGGCAGTGGACAAAATGACATCTTATTGACCTCTGGGTGACATGATGTGAGACTACATACATCAAAATACAGTATAGTGTCTAATATATGGTATATACATAAAAACAGTGCAGGAATAATTTAATAATGCTATATTGATATGTTTTAGCTCTTTGCCAAAAAATCTTTCATTAGAAATTATGTATTTTTTTAATTTACTGTTGACACTTACTGGACAGACATACATCATAAATCACCATAAAACCTCTTCTTAGTATATTTCAATAGAAATATTTCTATTTCTATTATTATTATTATTATTTTCACCATCATCAATGTTAATGTTATTATTTGTAAATATGTTTTAAATGCAATTTGAATAATCCTTTCCTTCTTCTGATTTCATGGAACTAACTGGGGTTTCAGTGGGGACACTGAATTTGATTTCACACAACTTAGTGCAATAAAATCCAGAATCTGTCACATGAGTTTTGTTCTGCCCTTGGCTGTGATTAGCAGCTGAGTTGCAATGAATTGTCGCAAGCCTGTGCTGATTTCATTATGTGATGTACTGTAAGTCTGGCCTTGCAAGACATGTGCCTAATGAGTAGTGTTATAGAAAAATATGCTTTGAATTCTGTCCTCTTATCCTACCTAACAAATCACATTTCTTTTCCGATATCGTCAATGAAGTTTAATGTCAAATGACAAAACCCATTTTTTTCCAAGGAAGTTCATATAAAAGAATAGTTTATGCTTAAGAGAAATGGAACTGTAAACTGTTTTATGACCCAGACTGAGCCCAGTGAAGTCTGTTTACTTGCTTTAAATTGCTTACAGAAAACTGTCACAGTGGTTTATAGTCTGACCTTAAAGTACAATGTTTACAGAATACAACAGAATTAATGCTTCAAAACCTTCAAGGGTTTGTTTTTATTTGAACAAATCTCAGTTTTTTGTTTCTACTGATGTGGTTAATTATTTATTAGTTGTTTAAGCACAGCCACAGTATGTGTCCCCCTGAGGTCTGTAAAACAATAAAATATACCATATTAACTAAATAACATAAATACATAAATAAGTAATGTTGGTTAATCTGAGTAGAAACAATTATACTAGAGTTCTAAACAGGAAGTGAAGTCATCACAATTCTCAGGTCAATGTGCAAATCTTGTCTTTCAATGGCATAACATTTTCTAGAGAAAATAATTGAGATCTACTGTACACCGCTGCACAAAGAGGTAGGTAAAATTAATTAGAACAGGTAATTAGCAAGCATTTCCAAACAAAAGTATTTTCACCGATGTATTTGTTCAGTGGAATAT